TCCCCATTGGTCTTGGTTTGCGATGACGGCCTACAGGTCAGGAGATGAGGCATCCTCTGGCGCCCCGTGGAGGTTCGTATCGATAAGTTCGAGCACGTGGTGAACGCCGTCGTTCGCCTGCACAACTTCTGTCGGGATCGAAAGGTGGACGTCCCCACGGAAAACACGGGGTCTGCGATTCCTTCGCCCGAGGTCGCTTTTGACGACGACGGTCTCATCAGTAGCGACTACTTCGAGACCGTTCCAGTGCGTACCGGGCACCCCGTGGAGTACCAGGCTAAGGCGTCGAAGCCGAGGGAGGCCATTCGCAAGGAGCTGGAGGTGACTGGCTTGATGAGGCCAGAGCACAACATCGCCAGGAGCCAAACACGCGCAAGTTAGGGCGCTGTCGGAAACTTACACTTGGCAGGGAGGGGGGGTCGAGGGCGAGAGCGGGGGTGGGGGGCAAGAGCGGGGTCGGGACCGGCGGCCGATGTGGGGTGTGTGTTTCGCGGGGATCGAGGTGAGGGTCATGTGCGGTGGTGTGTGTGTTGTGTTGTGTTCTTTTATTTTTAGCATCGACCGCGCTAACCGGCTGACCAATGACAAGACGTCAGTCTCAGTGCGGTTGAAAACACAAAACACTTCTATCTGCCATGAACTGGGACCCCGTGAGGGGGCAGCATGGGGGAGGNGACAAGAAGAATCTCTGGGCAGTTCTTCCCTAGCCCTACGTTTCTTGTTGTGGGGAAGGTCATCTGGCTCAAACCCTTTGCTCTCTTCCACTCCTCCATGTTTTCCTCCTCCATTGTCGTCTTCGTCCTCCTTACTTCCCTTTTTCTTTCCTTCGCCTCCGTCACTCCCAAAAGACTGACCATCATTANATCGACCGCGCTAACCGGCTGACCAATGAAAAGACGTCAGTCTTAGTGCGGTTGAAAACACAAAACACTTCTATCTACCATGAACTGGGACCCCGTGAGGGGGCAGCATGGGGGAGGCTAAACTATCCTTCGGATCAACGACAGAAACAGCAGCAACAGAAGAAAACTGCACGTGTCTACGAAGGCTACTACCTTGTACTCGAGTTCGTTTTGGAGCACTTTCACCATCATCCTCCTTGTGTTCGCTACCATCATTCTGAACTTCATTTTGACAAGAATCTCCGGGCAGTTCTTCCCTAGCCCTACGTTTGTTCTTTTGGGGAAGGTCATCTGGCTCAAACCCTTTGCTCTCTTCCACTCCTCCATGTTTTTCTGCTCCATCGTCGTCATCCTCCTTTCTCCCCTTTCCCTTTCCTTCGTCTTCGTCACTCCCAAAAGAATTACCCTCACTACTATCGTTGTCGCAGAGATCCCAACCGATTGGCCCTGGTGGAAGTTGGTCGATCAGTAGCCCGTGACGTTTGACCACATCGCGAGTTCGCATAGACAGAAAATGAGCTAGCGAAGGTAAACCGTCTCCGAATCCTGAAGTATGAAACGCTTTCAGGCGGACTAACGCTCTTTCGTCGTCAAAATCCCGCCGGCAAAAAGCTTTGTGCGCCAAGTGGTTGGCGATAGCAACGATGAGTCGATTGGTGCCTTTACCAAGACCGCCATTTGTTGAAAACGCAGCAGGAAGGAGGTTAGATCTAGACGGGTTGAAGGTTCCCGCATAGTGATTTGCCTTACTTGCAGCTCGATCTTCGAGGGCTGATCCTGGCTTAAGGATCGACTTGTCGATGCTTCGACCTGCTGATGGGTTGACGATTGTTACGTCGATCAGAATGGACTTGGTGCAGAGGTCCTCTTCCTTCTCTCCTGCGTGCAATCCTGGGGGGATCACCAAATCCATCTTGTGTAGCCCCTTTCCCCTACCAGTGCCTGTGGTAAAAGGGGAAGAATCCTCAACGGCGATGGGCATATGGCACTCGCGCAGTGTCTTGAGGACCACTCGAACCATCCTGTTATGGAGGAAGGTTGAGGCGCCGGTCTTGGTACAGACGAGGGAGTGGGCTCGGCTCAAGCGGTCCTTGCATGGTAGCAATGTACCTGCACCACAAAATTTTCCTGTGTTGCAGTCTGCTCGATCGTGACTCCCCAGTACACGACCGATTGACTCTCGATATAGATCAGGCAGCATTCTTTCATCTGCTGACAACCCTTGCGTTGTCAACCACGACAAAACTCCCTTGCCTTTCGCTTCCTCCAAGCGGATCAACGCCCTCTTCTTTGGCGTTTCCTCGCCTACTACTTTCTGCAAGTCTGTCTCCACCATGTGGCGCACTGCTGCATGAAGAGGTTTCGAAAGGAGAGCTTGGGCTCCAAAGACTCGGTAGTGTTGACCAAATTCATTTCGGTTGTAGGTAGACGGTGGTTGATATTCTACGTCAGGGTTTCCATCTTCACGGGGTTTTCCCGCCTTCCCTGCTTCCAACANNNCCAAAGACTTGGTAGTGTTGACCAAATTCATTTCGGCTGAAGGTAGACGGTGGTTGATGTTCTACGTCAGGGTTTCCATCTTCACGGGGTTTTCCCGCCTTCCCTGCTTCCAACAAGTAAACTCCTTTGAGGGCGGGGGTTAACTCATCACTTGTGGCAAGTTTAGCCCATGACTGCCCAACAGCTTTTTCAAGCTTGTGTTTGGTGATGATCTCCTCTATCGTCTTGAGTGAGTCAATTTGAGCCAACCCCGTCGGTAGCTGGGCAAGCCGGGGTAGACATTGCTCAACTGTGTATCCTGTCGATGCTTGCACTGACTTGGAGAACACCAGCGCTTGCCCTGCCACAAAAGCCGATTCTCGAATGAGAACATTGCTCGTGATTCCTAGTCCTCCTTCTCGCATGGGTAGGTGCACCTGC